GCACGGTTGTGCACAGAAATCTATCTCCCTTAGTATAGGAGATGGTAGGTCGAAATTAGGTGTCTTTCGAAAGCAGATGCCTTCAGTTCTCCAGAGAGTCAATCATCGTTGCTGTAGCATTTCTGGATGAATAGTTACAGGATTTGCCTGAAACCTGGCCTTAAGGCGCATAGCAACAAGGTGAGAGAGACAGGAGGCCCTCGCCTGGCACTTGAAAGTCAACGATTGCGCGGCAGGTTCGCTCTGATAGGTTGAGCCTGGCACAAGGGGACGCATGCCCCAGCCTTCCAGCCAAAATGCGAGTATTCTGTCTTTGAACGCTGTGCTCAGTGGACGTGGGAGCCTCTGCTCCCGGCCAGAACAGAGTTCTACCCCAGTCTACATCAAAGCTCAGCTAGCCAAACTGGCTAGCTGTTTTGTGTTGCCGTTGCAGAATCCAGTAATCGTAGGGCTCCATCCGAAGTCATATAACGAAGTTACGAGACCAAAATCTTAGCTGTCACATGTGTTACCTATAGGCACAACTGGACTGTGCAAAGTAATCGTGTATAATAGGTTTGTGTATGAGCGATCCGTCATTTTATTGCTCAGTAAACTGTGAGAAAGAAATCGGGAAATGTGATTCCAAGTATTTGAGTGAAGATCATGCCTTAATCTTCAAATTTGTGGGATGTGGGAACTCTGTTAAATTTTCTTCCAACCTGTGATCACTCTGTGTGTCTGTTACGTGGTTCTTAATAATATTCCAACGTGCATTCAGTCAGCCTTCAGCATATATCACACTAGTGTGTATAATCCGTGTATATTGTGAGCACGCTTCCCAAAAAAGTCATTAGTGTGAAAGCCCAGCCATTCTCGCCCTTAGCGACCAGTGGCCGCATCACCCGTGCTGCCTGAGGCCTTAAGCCACGCCTCACCCAGTTGCACCTCACTGCCGCACCTCATCCATCCTAGCTCACACTTGCTCCGCTTTCTCCTGTGTTTACAATCAACAGCAGGTTGTTCGTTCTCCATAACCCCTCTATGGGACCGAGTTCGATTCCCCGAGGAAGCACGATAGGTAAAGGCCGACTACAGTTTTTCCTGTGTGATTGCTGTAGCTGGACCTTAAGTGTGTTTGTCTACATTATTACACATTTAGAGATTGTGTGTCAACTGTTGTGGTTTTATTGTGTTTTGTGTGGATTCAATATTATACCACCACTGTGTTGTTTAACCCATGTCCATTCGTTCTGTACTTTACTTCCAGGGGGCATGTTGTAATTAAAGAGTAAGATTATTGTGTGTATTCAGTTATTGTTTATTGACACGAGTGTCAATATGTTGTGTTCATTATTGTGTACTGTATTGAGTTGGTCTCTGTGACCCGGTGTTGTTTGACTTGGTGTCATTATTGTGTAGGTTTATGTTGAGCTCCGTGACCCGGTGTTGTTTGACTTGGTGTCATTATTGTGTAGGTTTATGTTGAGCTCCGTGACCCGGTGTTGTTTGACCCGGTGTCATTACTGTGTATTGTTTGTGTTGGTCTACGTGACCCTACGTTATGTAACTTAGTGTTCATTTATCTCGAGAAGTCAGTGTAACTCAGTGTTCATTTATCTTGAGAAGTCAGTGTAACTCAGTGTTCATTTATCTTGAGAAGTCAGTGTAACTCAGTGTTCATTTATCTTGAGAAGTCAGTGTAACTCAGTGTTCATTTATCTTGAGAAGTCAGTGTAACTCAGTGTTCATTTATCTTGAGAAGTCAGTGTAACTCAGTGTTCATTTATCTTGAGAAGTCAGTGTGACTCAGTGTTCATTATTCTTGAAGTCAGTGCATTGATTTAACGTTATCAATTGTCGTTTTAATTAGCACGTGATGACTAGCAATCGTGTTGACTAATAAGCGTTTGTCAAGCGGTCTCAGTGACTGCCGAGCGTTAACGTAATTCTTTGTGAATCAAGTTGAGCTGTTGAGTTGTAACAGGACCTTGAGCGGTTACTCAGGAATTGCTAATTACCCGTAAGCTGTTGTTGACTTCATTGACTTGTTCTGATTTGTTTGAGTGACTGTGTTGACAGAGTGTGTTAACGTAGTTTACCTTTTTTTGAAGTGAATATCTTGGAGACCTAGTAACGTAATTGGATTTACTAAGTAACGTAAACATCTGTAATTGTTTGATTGAAATTGAGTAGATCACTTGTCATCTGTCATCGTGTTTAACGTAATTCACTGAGTATGCATCCCTGTGCAGGGTTGAAGTAATAAGCTGTCCTTACAGCATTTGTTTGATGTTAGTTCAGTCTTTCCTGACTGAGGTCACTTGTATTAATATTGAGACATAACATCTGGTGCCAACGTGTTGCTGCTGAATTGTCATTAAGAGTACCACGAAGTGCCCATCTGGCCAATAGATACTTGTAACCTATTCACCTCTAAAAGGGATAATCTCACATTCAGATCCTACAATCGCTCTTCATACCCAATTCCTTACAACTCTAGGACGAGCCTCGTTGCAAATTTTCAAACTTTTTCCAGTTTCTTTGGGTTTCTTCAAGTGGGGGCTCCATGATAGGGCGACATACTCGAAGACTGGTCTCACATAGGCAGTGTAAAGTGCTCTAAATGCCTCCTTACTTAGGTTTCTGTATGATGGTTTCTTCTAACTTTTCCCCAGTGCGCTGCTGTTGTTACCCTAATTATATGTGCCTCTGGAGTTAGATTAGGCATTACAACCACTCCCAGGTCTCTTTCTCAAATCGTCACAGGTAGAGGTAGTTTTTCTTCATTGTGTACTGTCCATTTGGTCTCCTGTCACCTAATCCCATTTCCATTACTTTACATTTGCTCATGTTGAACTCCAGGAGCCATTTCTCTCTCTATCTCTGCAACCTGTTTTAAGTCGTCTTGGAGGATCCTACACTCCTCTTCTGTCACAACTATTCTCATTAATTTTGCGTCATCCGTGAACATCGACATATAGGACTTTACTGCTGCGGACATGTCATTTATGTATACTGTATTAGAAATAGAAATGACCCCAGCAGCGATCCTTAAGGTACTCCACTCGTTACTGTTCGCCAGTCTGACTTCTCGCCCCTTACCGTTACTCTCTGGCTCCTTCCTATTTGGTAGTTCCTTACACATGTTAGGGCTTTTCCGCTTACTCCCGCCTGCCTCTCAAGTTTGAATAGCCTCCTCTTGTCAAGTCTCCTGTGCGATACTGTATCAAAGACTTTTTGGCAGTTCAGAATTATGCAGTCTGCCCATCCTTCCTTGTCAAAAATTTCTTGAAAATTTATACATTTGTCTTCTTCCAGCAACTGGGCAACTCTCCCTTCATAAGTGACTCATTAAAGATCCTTGCCAGAAGCACGCTAGGGCCTGCGCTGCCTCTTTTAGTATCTATGGTGATTCATTGTCTGGTTCAACTGCTTTAGTTTCATCCAGTGGTGCTAGCTTTTTCATTACTTTCTCTACTGTTACCTTTATATTTGATAGTTTTTCATCTAGGGTCATCTCTTCTAACGATAGGAGCTGTTCAAGCTCAGTTGTGAACGCTGTATAGAAACTGGCATTCAGTACCTCACAGAGATCTTTGTCACTTTCCGTATATGGCCTTTTTGTTTTCTCATAGTCTTGTCACTTGGTCGTTCAGCGACATTTACCTCCTAATATGACTAAGGAGTAATTCAGGTTGCTTTTTCGCTTTGGTCGCAATATCGTTCTCATAATTTCTTTCCGATACTCTTCTTATGTTAACGAAATCGTTCCTAGCTCTGTTGCAACTAATCCTGTTCTCCTCTGTGCTTTCTTCACTCCTTCCTGCTTCAATTTTTTTCTTCCTGACTACCTCCTCTCTCCCCCCCCTCTCTTTCTCTCTCACTCTCTCTCTCTCTCAGTCTCTCTCTCTCTTTGTGTGTGTGTGGAGGGGGAGGGGATGTACTCTCCTATTTGGGCATGCAGGATCGAGCTTTAGCTCTTGGACCCGGCTTTTTGATACAGTACCCCGTTTTATGGGGTACTGTATCAAAGGCTTTTTGGCAGTTCAGAAATATGCAATCTGCCCATCTTCTTGAGGTTATCTTGAGATGATTTCGGGGCTTTAGTGTCCCCGCGGCCCGGTCCTCGACCAGGCCTCCACCCCTAGGAAGCAGCCCGTGACAGCTGACTAACACCCAGGTACCTATTTACTGCTAGGTAACAGGGGTATAGGGTGAAAGAAACTGTGCCCATTGTTTCTCGCCGGCGCCCGGGATCGAACCCGGGACCACAGGATCACTGTCCAGCGTGCTGTCCGCTCGGCCCCATTGCAGATTCTAACGCCCAGGTAACTATTTACTGCTAGGTAACAGGCGCATCAGGGTGAAGGAAACTGCCGATTTGTTTTTCCGGCGGTGCCGGGGAATCGAAGCCCGGTCCCTAGGTCCATGAGTCTAAAGCTCTGTGCACTTGGCCAGCACCCACCGGATGTGGGATTGTATGTGTGAGTGTATGTATGAGTGTGTGTGTACACTCATTATTCCGTGAGTCCAACAACGATTGTAATACGCAATTTAATTTAGAGAATAAAACAACTCGAGTTATATCATATGCATTTGAACAAGTACATCAAGAAGTTTGAGAAAATAATATATGTATATAATTCATACTTGACCAAACTGACTTGCCTAAGCTAAGTTGTCGTGTCTACAACATTCATATGTAAATTTTTGTAAACCTAATTAGATAAAAATATAACGTTCGTTATACTATTAGGCTGCATACTAGAATATTTAGTAAGTTAAAAGTATTTAAGTGAAGAGTGACACGTTGAGCATAATGAAGCAGTGGCCGCTGTTCCCATAACCTGTGTTCTTGTCTGGGTGTTGAGCATCACACAGAGCTCCGATATCATACTTAATGAGTATTCAGTATCTCCATGACTACACCGGACATCTATGATCTTACAGGATCTCTGTGACTATGCAGAAACTCCATGACTATACAGGAACTCCGTAACTATGCAGAACGTCCATAACTATACAGGAACGCCAAGACTACGAAGGAGCTCGATGACTCTACTGGAGCTCCATGACTTTGCAGAAAGTCCATGACTATGCAGGAGCTCCATGCCAAAGACAAGGAGACTAAGAGCGAGGCCGCACACCAGCACAAGGAACATGCCCTGAAAGAGTTACTTTGAATTATCTAATGTAATCGAACATTTACTCATATTCAATCACATTAAATTATGGCAACTTATAGTTAAACCAGTTAATACTTGCACATTACCTTGATGTTAACAATAGAGAGTGAAGTCTGGATAACAACCTGGGTCGGCGGATTGGAACAGTTGGAACTGTTTGCAAACAATTGTTTTAACTCCTGATTGTAGAGCCAGGTTTCATCTATCCTCATGAGTCTGGTGATATTAAATTAAAATATGTTATTTAGTAAATTTTAATTATTTCTTATGTAGCATATGTTTTATAAGGTTAAGCACAACAGAGAAGGAATTTGGTTTCCATTTTTGATTCGGCAGACAATTAAGGATTTATATTACACTAGGGATACATTATTAATGGTAATCTATGCCAAACTTTACTAGCATATTTCGATAAATATGATTAGATAATTAAATAAATAATAAATCTTGATAAGAGGATAAATATTCTTGCATTAAAGTGTTTGGTAATTTTATTACATTAGATAACATAACTCAAGAATTATATAAGCTGATTTATATAAGTAACGAGTTATACCTTCTGCTGAAGACAGGCACCAGGGGGTGTCCCTTGGCACACAAAATACAGTACATCAGCGGCAGGAACTCCTCCCTCGCCACGTAAAAGTCACACTCACCTGAAGATAGTGTATTTTAACAGCTGTGTAAAGCAATCACTGTGCACGAACAGACTTCACTTTGGAATATATATACTGTTCATCCCTTCCCTGATTTCTTTGGTGAAGTCGGTGCAGATTTCGTCTGGAGAGTTCTTCATAAGTAAGCTGGCGTATGAAGAACTCTCCAGACACCAAGCAGAACGCCTTAAGAAAGACTAACGTCGTCTATGCTTTCACATGCCCACTTGGGGTACTGTCAGTACCCAAGATCTCAGTATGTTGGCAAGACCACAACGTCTCTCACTCTAGGTGATTAACAATGCACAAGTAATAGGGCTCCATCAAGGAGCGTATACTTTCCACACACACAACCAGACCATCAACAGAGACATCCTAACAAGCAACACTGAAATAATCGACAAGTATAACGACAACAGAAGACTGGACACCAGCGAGGCGCTACACATCAAAACGTCAGAGCCAGCAATCAACAACCAGTTAACACTTAATTACATTCTACCCACTCAAGACCCCGAGCCAACGTTGAGACAGGATCAAATGACCCTGCCTTAGGGCCACAAGCACCAACAAGAACATAAGCTGTCCATGTTGATACATTTAATACCCTTTCACTATACCCATGTTATGCCATTCATCCAATTGTTCTTTACCACTTCACCCAATGAGAATATAAGCCTGCACTAAAAATGGTAAACTTTCTTTTGTGCATGCAAAGAGGGATATTGCAAAACAAGACCTTGCTGGAGTTCCTCCAGCTCCTCAGATGATGGGCAGAAAACCCTGAATGCAGTGTGCATTTCCTCTCTGTATCGCCATGATGAGGCACTGGAAAAGGAAGCTGGTAGCTGTAGGGTCTCTTGTTGTTTCAATGAGCCTAAAACCCAGTCCTTCAAAAAATTGGTGGCACTCTTACCCCAGGCGCCGAGTGTCCCAGAAGCAATGGGGACAAAATTGCAGTGGTGATCCAGTTATCTGTATTACGGGATTTGGCTGATTCCCTGTGAGTGGTAGCGCCACCTGGTTGTGCAACACTGACGTTATTGTAGGTGTTAGCCAGGGTTGATACGCGTGTGTATCTCATACAACTGCTTGTCATTCTTCTGGGGGATCGTTGTGACACAATCTGGGCGACCAATAAGAGCATCACAGTTATTGGGCGATAGGTAACGGAGCTCTCTTTCAGCTGGGCATCCAGCTGTGGTGAAGCTCCTCTTGATGATGTCGTTAACTTCCCTGTGCCTTGAGTGCCATCCTCATGTGCTTTGGCAGAGTAGGCCATGTTGGCCGTACTTGTTGGCCACCACCTTGCCGCAAATAAACCTATATTTGCTGTGGATAGGGACAGCAATTCAAAGGGCGTGTGGTGTCTCACACCACACGCCCTTCAGTTGATAACATTGGGGTTGCTAAAATTTTATGCATGTGGGGTTGCATGTGGGGCTGCTACTGCTGGAAGGCGAGCAATGTCGTGTTTATCATATATATATATATATATATATATATATATATATATATATATATATATATATATATATATATATATATATATATATATATATATATATATATATATGTCGTACCTAGTAGCCAGAACGCTCTTCTCAGCCTACTATGCAAGGCCTGATTTGCCTAATAAGCCAAGTTTTCCTGAATTAATATATTTTCTCATTTTTTTTTCTTATGAAATGAGAAAGCTACCCATTTCATTATGTATGAGGTCAATTTTTTTTATTTTAGTTAAAATTAACGTAGATATATGACCGAACCTAACCAACCCTACCTAACCTAACCTAACCTATCTTTATAGGTTAGGTTAGGTTAGGTAGCCGAAAAAGTTAGGTTAGGTTAGGTTACGTAGGTGAAATAGTCGAAAAATAAATAATTCATGAAAACTTGGCTTATTAGGCAAATCGGGCCTTGCATAGTAGGCTGAGAAGTGCGTTCTGGCTACTAGGTACGACATATATATATATATATATATATATATATATATATATATATATATATATATATATATATATATATATATATATATATATATATATATATATATGTCGTACCTAGTAGCCAGAACGCACTTCTCAGCCTACTATGCAAGGCCCGATTTGCCTAATAAGCCAAGTTTTCATGAATTAATTGTTTTTCGACTACCTAACCTACCTAACCTAACCTAACCTAACTTTTTCGGCTACCTAACCTAACCTAACCTATAAAGATAGGTTAGGTTAGGTTAGGTAGGGTTGGTTAGGTATGATCATATATCTACGTTAATTTTAACTCCAATAAAAAAAAATTGACCTCGTACATAATGAAATGGGTAGCTTTATCTTCTCATAAGACAAAAATTAGATAAAATATATTAATTCAGGAAAACTTGGCTTATTAGGCAAATCGGGCCTTGCATAGTAGGCCGAGAAGTGCGTTCTGGCTACTAGGTACGACATATATATATATATATATATATATATATATATATATATATATATATATATATATATATATATATATATATATATATATATATATATATATAACTGAAAACTCACACCTCAGAAGTGACTCGAACCCATACTCCCAGAAGCAACGCAACTGGTATGTACAAGACGCCTTAATCCACTTGACCATCACGACCGGACATAATGAGGTGATAGCCGAGGCTATTTGAACCACCCCACCGCCGGCACTCGGATAGTAATCTTGGGCATAGCATTTTACCAAATCACCTCATTTTTTTGGGGCACACGTGAGGAACACAAATGCGAACAAGCCTGAATGGTCCCCAGGACAATATGCAACTGAAAACTCACACCCCAGAAGTGACTCGAACCCATACTCCCAGAAGCAACGCAACTGGTATGTACAAGACGCCTTAATCCACTTGACCATCACGACCGGACATAATGAGGTGATAGCCGAGGCTATTTGAACCACCCCACCGCCGGCACTCGGATAGTAATCTTGGGCATAGCATTTTACCAAATCACCTCATTTTTTGGGGGCACACGTGAGGAACACAAATGCGAACAAGCCTGAATGGTCCCCAGGACAATATGCAACTGAAAACTCACACCCCAGAAGTGACTCGAACCCATACTCCCAGAAGCAACGCAACTGGTATGTACAAGACGCCTTAATCCACTTGACCATCACGACCGGACATAATGAGGTGATAGCCGAGGCTATTTGAACCACCCCACCGCCGGCACTCGGATAGTAATCTTGGGCATAGCATTTTACCAAATCACCTCATTTTTTTGGGGCACACGTGAGGAACACAAATGCGAACAAGCCTGAATGGTCCCCAGGACAATATGCAACTGAAAACTCACACCCCCCAGAAGTGACTCGAACCCATACTCCCAGAAGCAACGCAACTGGTATGTACAAGACGCCTTAATCCACTTGACCATCACGATCGGACATAATGAGGTGATAGCCGTGGCTATTTGAACCACCCCACCGCCGGCACTCGGATAGTAATCTTGGGCATAGCATTTTACCAAATCACCTCATTTTTTTGGGGCACACGTGAGGAACACAAATGCGAACAAGCCTGAATGGTCCCCAGGACAATATGCAACTGAAAACTCACACCCCAGAAGTGACTCGAACCCATACTCCCAGAAGCAACGCAACTGGTATGTACAAGACGCCTTAATCCACTTGACCATCACGACCGGACATAATGAGGTGATAGCCGAGGCTATTTGAACCACCCCACCGCCGGCACTCGGATAGTAATCTTGGGCATAGCATTTTACCAAATCACCTCATTTTTTGGGGGCACACGTGAGGAACACAAATGCGAACAAGCCTGAATGGTCCCCAGGACAATATGCAACTGAAAACTCACACCCCAGAAGTGACTCGAACCCATACTCCCAGAAGCAACGCAACTGGTATGTACAAGACGCCTTAATCCACTTGACCATCACGACCGGACATAATGAGGTGATAGCCGAGGCTATTTGAACCACCCCACCGCCGGCACTCGGATAGTAATTTTGGGCATAGCATTTTACCAAATCACCTCATTTTTTTGGGGCACACGTGAGGAACACAAATGCGAACAAGCCTGAATGGTCCCCAGGACAATATGCAACTGAAAACTCACACCCCCCAGAAGTGACTCGAACCCATACTCCCAGAAGCAACGCAACTGGTATGTACAAGACGCCTTAATCCACTTGACCATCACGATCGGACATAATGAGGTGATAGCCGAGGCTATTTGAACCACCCCACCGCCGGCACTCGGATAGTAATCTTGGGCATAGCATTTTACCAAATCACCTCATTTTTTTGGGGCACACGTGAGGAACACAAATGCGAACAAGCCTGAATGGTCCCCAGGACAATATGCAACTGAAAACTCACACCCCAGAAGTGACTCGAACCCATACTCCCAGAAGCAATGCAACTGGTATGTACAAGACGCCTTAATCCACTTGACCATCACGACCGGACATAATGAGGTGATAGCCGAGGCTATTTGAACCACCCCACCGCCGGCACTCGGATAGTAATCTTGGGCATAGCATTTTACCAAATCACCTCATTTTTTGGGGGCACACGTGAGGAACACAAATGCGAACAAGCCTGAATGGTCCCCAGGACAATATGCAACTGAAAACTCACACCCCAGAAGTGACTCGAACCCATACTCCCAGAAGCAACGCAACTGGTATGTACAAGACGCCTTAATCCACTTGACCATCACGACCGGACATAATGAGGTGATAGCCGAGGCTATTTGAACCACCCCACCGCCGGCACTCGGATAGTAATCTTGGGCATAGCATTTTACCAAATCACCTCATTTTTTTGGGGCACACGTGAGGAACACAAATGCGAACAAGCCTGAATGGTCCCCAGGACAATATGCAACTGAAAACTCACACCCCAGAAGTGACTCGAACCCATGACTGGGGAACGTGACTGGGGTGTGAGTTTTCAGTCATATATATATATATATATATATATATATATAATATATA